GCCGGGTTCAGCAGCGACAGCACCGAATGTTCGTTGCCGCCCAGGAAGGACACGAGCACGCCCTGCGGGTCCAGGCTCGACACGACCTCGATGAAGGCAGGCGCGGCGGCGACGGTCGGGCGGCCGTCCACCGTCTGCACCACGGCGCGGCAGTCCACGCCCGGGATGATCAGGTGCGCCCGCAGCTGCACGGGCGAACCGTCACCGGGCAGCGGCCCGATCGGCTGGAACCCGGGCTGCTGGGCCCAGGTCGTCCAGCTGGTGTGGGACACGCCGACTCCGGGTGCCGCGGCACGCAGCACGCTGATCGCGTGGCTCATGCCCAGGAGGTCCATGTTCAGTGCCGGTGCTTGCGCCATGCGGGGATTCTCGGCCGCGCCGCGGCGCGCGGGCGAGCGGAACTGCGGGGCGCCGGGGCGGCAATTCGCCGCTTGGCCATCGACACGACAAAGACCGAGCCGAGTCGGCAACGCTGCTCAGCAGCGCTGGCGACTCGGCTCGGCGGTGGTGGAAAAAGACGTCATTCGCATAAGGACCTGACGCCGATTTCAGCCGCGCTTCGTGCTGGACTTGTTGGCAGCCAGCGTCTGGCGCAGCAGCGTGGCTTCGCTGTAGCCGACGACCACGACGCGAGGCAGCTGGGCCACTTCACGCTGGGCGGTGCCGGTCACGACGACGCGCGGCAGCTGGGCGATCTCGCGGGTGGCCTTGCCCGTCACGACGACGCGCTCGAGCTTGACGGTGGGTTGCGGGGCGGCCTGGGCAGCGACAGCGGCGAAGGTCAGGACAGCGGCGGTGAAGACAGTGTGGATGCTCATGATGGACTCCGTTTCGGTGGGTTTCGAACCGCGTGATTGCTTGTTCGATGGAGTCAGTTTCGTCACTGCCCATCGGCCCTTCCAGGCGGCTGCGACGAATTGCAGGAAGCACGCGATGAGCCGCAGATTCAGAGGACAGCCGACGTGCAAATGACCGCCGCCGCACCGCGCCGCCTGCCTACACTGGCCTGCACCACCACGAGAACCCGCAAGGGCAGCACACCATGGGAGCCTGGAGTCACGACGCCTTCGGCAACGACACCGCCTGCGACTGGGCGCAGGACCTGGTCGACACGTCCGACCTGTCGCTGGTCGCGGATGCCATCGCTGCTGCACTGCCCCAGCCGGGCGACGACCTCGACGCCGATGCCGCCTGCGAGGCGCTGGCGGCGATCGACGTCATCGCGCGGCTGCGTGGCCATCCGGGCTTCAGCAACAGCTACACCGAGGCCGTGGACGACTGGGTCGCCAGCACCCGTTTGGTGCCGCCTGAGGGGCTGCGTCAGCAGGCACTGCAGGCGCTGGACCACATCGGCGGGCCGCGCTCCGAGCTGGCGGCGCTGTGGGAGGAGAGCGATTCGGGCGCCGACTGGCAGGCGTCGCTGGCCGAGCTGCGGGCGCG